GTAGCTGGGACTACAGGCACATGCCACCACCACGCCCAGCTGATCTTTTGTATTTTAGTAGAGATGGATTTCACTGTGTTGCCCAGGCTGGTCTTGAACTTCTGATCTCAGGCATCCACCTGCCTCCACCTCCCAAAGTGCTGGGATTACTTGTGTGAGCCATTGCGCCCGGCCTAATTTATGTATTTTTTTAATAGAGAAAGGGTTTTACCATGTCGGCCAGGCTCATCTGTAACTCCTGACCTCAGGTGATCTATCTACCTCGACCTCCCAAAGTGCTGAGATTAGAGGTGTGAGCCATTACGCCCAACCTCAAAGTTTATTTAGTTTTCAAAAATGTAACATAGTGCTAGACACATAATGAAAAGGCAGGAATGGCTGGGCGCAGTGGCTCATGCCTGTAATCCTAGCACTTTGGGAGGCCAAGGTGGGCGATCATAAGGTCAGGAATTCGAGACCAGCCTGACCAACATAGTGAAACCCCATCTCTACTAAAAATACAAACATTAGCTGGGTGGGGTGGTGCACACCTGTAATCCCAGCTACTTGGGAGGCTGAGGCAGGAGAATTGCTTGAACCTGGGAGGCGGAGGTTTCAGTGAGCTGAGATTGCACAACTACACTCCAGCCTGGGCAACAGAGGGGGTCTCCGGCTCAAAAAAAAAAAAAAAAGCTATCTGAGTAGCGGAGGCTGCATATAAGAAGAGGCCCTGCAGGGGCAGCCCCCAGCCAGTGCCTACGCTCAGAACACCGAGACTCTAACTTGTTGGGGGTTGGGGCCTACACTGGGGCTGGAGGCCGGCTGGGGGCGACAGCCAGGGCCGTCGCTGCTAGGCCGAGCACCTAGAGAGAGTGAAGATATGAGGTGATGAACAGTGTGGGGGTTCTCACTCCCGACTCCCCTTGCCCTCAGCCGGCAGCAGGGGCTTTTGGCCGGCACCAAGCCCGGCCTGCTCAGCAGGTTAAGCCCATGTGCCTTCTCTCCCCTGCAGGACGCTGAAAGGGAAACTGGCCCGGCAGCACCCAGAGGCCTTCAGCCGTAAGTGTCGCCAGGGCTCCTGCACCCGAGCACATCGCGCTCTCCGCCGAGGGCGAGCTTCTGGAAGGCCACCTTGGGGGCTGATATTGAGACCAGGCTGTAATGAGCAGTGGGCCTAGGGAGACCTGGGGCGGGGGCGGGGGTGGGGGTGCTGGGTTGGTCCTCTCGGCAGCTTGCAGAGTGGGCGCTAGGACTGGCGTCCGTGCCCTGTGGGTAAGCCGCATGGGGGACTGTGGATAAGCAGCATGACAATCCTTGTCCCTGTGGGCACTGTGAGCCCCTATGAGCCTGCCATGAGGTAGGGGCTGTGAGTATCCTCATTTCATGGAGAGGGAAACTGAGGCCCAGAGGGGCAGGACTCGAGTTCCCATCTATCTGGTTAGAGAGCTGACGTGTTCTCTGGGGTACCATTCCATGTTGCCACCACCTTAAAGGGCTCTGCAGGCTGAGCCTTGGTTTACCCATCTGTTGAAAAGGCCGACAGCTCTCCATCCCAGGGTCTCCAGCAGCAGCTTACAGAGCAGGGAGCTGGGCTGAGGGGAGGTCAGGACCTGGCCCTGGTAGCACTGAGCCAGGTTCGCCCTCAGGGCTCCTATAGGCCCATCCCCAGAGCCTGTGCTGTGTCCCTTCCTCACCTCACCTCGAGGCTCTTCCCTGCCTGGGCCTCAGTTCCCTCCTCTGTAAAATGGGCTAAGTTGGCAGGGCACGGTGGGTCACGCCTGTAATCCCATCACTTTGGGAGGCTGAGGCAGGGGGATCACCTAAGGTTGGGAGTTTGAGACCAGCCTGACCGACATGGGGAAACCTCGTCTCTATTAAAAATACAAAATTAGCCAGGCATGGTGGCACACGCCTGTAATCCCAGCTACTCGGGAGGCTGAGGCAGGAGAATTGCTTGAACGTGGGAGGTGGACATTGCGGTGAGCTGAGATGGTGCCACTGCACTCCAGCCTGGGTGACAAGAGCAAAACTGCATCCTCCCCCCCCCAAAAAAAAAATGGGCCAAGTCATACCCCCATGGGATGGAGGAGCCATCAGGGGTCACACGGACAGTAAGTCCTATGTCACAGTGTTTGGCAAGGCGACAGAACCAACTCTTGGGCCTCCTTCCCCCAGACATCCCGGAGGCATCTTTCCTGGAGGATGAGGATGAAGACCCCATCCCACCCAGCACCACGACCACCATCGCCACCTCAGAGCAGAGCACGGACTCCTGTGACACCAGCCCTGACACCGTCTCACCCTCCCTGAGCCCCGGCTTCGAGGACCTGTCCCATGTCCGGCCCGGTTCCCCAGCCATCAATGGGCGCAGCCAGACAGATGACGAGGAGATGGGCGAGTAGCCCTGCTGCCTGGTGCCTTGAGGGTCTCAGGGCAGCGGCATACAAGGTGGCAGCAGGTGACCCTGCCTTGTTCTGTCACCCAGGGTGCCTTTGCTGCCCCATTCTGTCACCCAGGGCTCCCAGGGGGACAGGGCTCTCTTGAAGGGGGTGGATTGCTGAGGGAGGTCTTTCATTCTGGCTCCCTCCTTCCTCAGAACACATCTCCTCTGCAAGACTCCTCTGCCATGCCAGGGCATGCCCATCCCAGCAGGAGTTGCGGGGCTGGGCATGGGAATTTTTCCAGAGCTGAGCCTCACGTTTGCTCTGAATAATGCTTAAAAAGGTTCCCAGAGACCAGAGCCAGATGTCCCCCACCTCTGGTCAGGACCTCCTTGAGGCGCACAAGCACGGTCTCGTGTGAGTTCACCCCCGCTCACCCCTACACCCGCTAATTCTGCTTTTCCTGCCCTTTCCTCTGTAAAAGTATCAAATACTTTCTCCTCGGTATCTCAAGGAGGTTTCTGAGATAGGTCGAAGGCTCAAGACGAAGGCTGGCGGGCCGTCCATTCAGCCCTGAGTGTGCTGAGGCCTGTTTCTGGGAACAGAGGTGTGGAACTTGAGGGCCTCCATGGAGCAAACCGAGCCACTCGGGAAAGAATTTAATGGGATATTTTTGTACCCGATGTTTACAGATGCTGTTGGGAAGTCATCAATAAAAAGACACCATTACTAAAAAGGGAAAAGTACCCCTAGCGGTGGTGGCTTCTTCCATCCTTAGGCCAAGCAACCCAGAAGGTGGGCAAGTGCTGGATGTCGGGCTGGGAACCCTGCTGGAGGGAGGTGCAGACAGTCAGTCACCACAGAGCTAGAAAGAGACCTGGCCCTTTTTTGGAACCCCCCCTGGTGGGAGCTGTCACAGCCCAAGTTGCCATCACCAGCTAGGTCTTCCCGCATGCGGCCCTCAGTGTTGACGGTCCTACTGTTCCCACTCTCCTTTCATAATTCCTCCTCCAGAGCTCAACACTCCTCCCGATCAGGAAGCCACACAGGATCCCATTCCCCATCAGACACACTCCCAGGGTTACCTCATCTTCTGAGTACTTAGAAATTAAGTTGTTTCGGCCGGGTGTGGTGGTGCATGCCTGTAATTCCAGCACATCGAGAGGCTGAGGCAGGCGGATCACCTGAGGTCAGGAGTTCGAGACCAGCCTGCCCAACATGGTGAAACCCCGACTCTACTAAAAATGCAAAAACTAGCTGGGTGTGGTGGTGCACACCTGTAATCCGGAGGCTGAGGCAGGAGAATCACTTGAACCCGGGAGGCAGAGGTTGCAGTGAGCTGAGATCACGTCATTGCGCTACAGTCTGGGCAATAAGAGTGAAACTCCGTCTCAGGAAAAAAAAATGTTCATAAAGTCATCTTCTCAGACATTGGAGGGTATACTTTTGCCTGGTATGGTAGTGCCTGCAAACATTCAAGGAAATAAACAGGTACCCCTGCCAAGCCTACAGGTAACTTCTCATTGCTGCCATGTTCGCTATACTCAGACTTCTCTTTTTTTTGAGACAGCATCTCCGTTACCCAGGCTGGATTGCAGTGGCCTGATCATGGCTCACTGCAAACTCAAACCCCTGTGTTCAGGCATTCCTCCCGCCTCCCAAGTAGCTGAGACTACAGGTGTGCGCCACCACACCTGGATAAATTTTAAAAACGGGTTTTTTTTTTTTTTTTTT